CGGTAAAAAGGTTAAAAAGAACATGTAAACAAAAAGAACAGAAGATCGTATCACAATAAAACAACAGAACAATAAAACCAATAAACTATAACAAACCCACAGCATAATAAACCCATATCCATTCAAGATCTGCTCTACCTTCAAAACAAGGGATGGAAGAGATTTTAGGCACACATTTTACAAGACTGAAAGTTACAAACACAGTTAAGGTAAGTCAAGAAATGATACACACTGAATAGTATAGTTAGTGGCTATTGCTAAGATTTAAAAACACATCGTCAAACATATAGGTCTAGTGCAAATGTACAATCCTGTGGTCTCCCCATTGACCCCCCAATCCTTAAATAGTCAAAACATTATATCCACTAGCTAATCTTTTTTCCCTTAGTTAAATGGGAATTAGGTTAGTCTTATACATGGTGAAAGCAAGTATAGATATAATCCATAACCCTTTTTTAGAGCTTTATGTGCCAATAACAAACCCAACTCTGTCCCCATGTCTACTTTGGAAACAACATTACTGGGTCTAATAATTTCATGCACAAATCAGAAGCATACTCATCATCCGGTATGATTTGTGTCATTGTTTGACAGCAAAGCCCTACTACATTTTACATGGGACAAACAAGCCAGTTAACTATAGGAAAATGTAAATGGACACAAATCTGTGGTGAGAAATGGCAAGACTAAAATGTTTAACATCAAAGATAGATTGCAAAGTAAAAGGTTTGAACTACATTTCATCAAAAGGTCCAACCAGGGTACCAAAGGTATAAACATGAATAACTTTGAAAGCAGGAATTCATATTCCCATTACGTGTTACTTTGTAGGATCCACAGTAATAAAAAGCTCTGCTCCTAGTGTAGGAGTACAAATCCTCAAATGAAACATTAAAGGATTTTCTTGTTCAATTTAGGATGATACCAAATGCATCTTGTGGGTGACACATACTTGGGGACACTTGGTGTAATAATATATCATGATCGGATGCATATGTGTATCTTTTTAAAACATAAGAGGAGCCATGCTGGATCAGAACAAGAGTCTAACTAGCATCCTGTTCACACAGTGGTCACAGTAGGACATGAGTACAACTGCACCTTCCTGCCCATGTTCCCCAGCAACTGACGTGGAGGCAGCATACAGCCAATCAGGACTAACAGCCATTGTTAGCCTTCTCCTTCAGGAATCAATCCAATCCTTAAAAAACAAAACAAAAAATTGCTGGCCATCATTGCATCTTGTGAAAGTGAATTCCATAGTTGAACTATATGCTGTGTGAAGAAATACTATCTTTGATGTATCTTTAATCTCCCAGTGATCAGCTGCATGGATTGACTGGGTTCTGGTACGGGAAGAGTCCTCCTATCCATGTTCTCCACCTATCCATGTTCTCCACATCATGTATAATTCTGTGTATCTCTACAATGTCTCTACTTGCTAGCTTTTCTTCCAAGCTAAGCAATCCCAACCCTAACCCTAAACCTTTCTTCACAGGGGAGTTGCTCCAGCTTCTCAATAATTTTAGTTGCCCTTTTCCGCACTTTTCCATCTTTATAATAGTCTTTCTCAGCTGCAGTAACTAGAATTTTTGTACAGATTGTACAGAGCAGGGTTGCAGCATAGATTTGCTTAAGGGCAGAATGAGAATGTCAGATTTCAGTTCCTTTCCTAATTATGCCTAACATGGCATCATTATGAATTTTTCACAATCACTGCACAGGGTGTCAACATTTTATTTGAGCTGTCCATCATAACCCCATGATCTCTGACAGTTTCAAATATTCCAGATTTTGTGTTTCTGAAATTCAATGCAGTGCACTAAAGAAGCAAGATGAGCTACTACTGGTCAGTAAAAATATTGATCCCCCCCCCCCACCAATTTCTACCCTACTTTTTGTTTTATAAAGCTCAAAGCAGCTAAAATATTAATACTGTTAAGAAATAATATTAATACATAATTAATGAACAATATATCAAAACAAAAAGGGAATGATAAAATAGAACCCATATTTACAAGTCCAAACGACCCAAATAGTACTGGCAGGATATGTGTAACAAAAATAGTGGCTACTTGCTGAAGTAGGCCAGGCTGGACACTACACAGAAACTCAGGGCAAACGGTTATATTTGCCTTTCCATAAATCATGCTCAAGGCACATTAACAACAGTTATAAACGAATAATCACGTAATTGAAAGACAGTTGAAAAACCATAAAGGAGCCAACAAGCTGAATAAAACGTAACAAAAGATCAACTATTAATATGAACTAGTCAAATGCTGACCAAACAGGATGATTTCCCAAAAAAGATGATCAATGATGTGGCAAGGCACATTCTTCTATGGCAGGATGAGACCTGAGGTTGAATTTAGTCCCTCAAACCACAATTGAACCTTCTAGAATTTCTGAATAAGTTATGCCCTCTTTGCCTAGCTCTACCCTCTTTCCCCAACCACTTGTCATTTGGTGGTTTCCTGGCTTATATGCAGTGTTTTCTGCATTTGAATAGAAGAAATTACTCTCCTAAGGCTGTTACTGGAACTAAAAATTTTCCACTAGGAAATTCTGATAGTTCTGGTATTTTTGCCCCAGTCTTCTTGCCACACCCAAGAACTTCTCTGAAATTAAATTCATCCTTTGGGCTGCTAAAGGATCTGTATCCCTATCCTACCAACTCAAGTTCTGAAACGTGAGGGAAGCTATGGAAAAGGCGCTCTCCCTCAGGTGCACCAGTTATAACTCGGCAATTGGTGGGACATGCCAAAGAGACTCTCCAAGATCTGAACTATCAGGCAGGATCATACAGGAGCCCAGGCCTCTGCTCCCATATTGCTGCCCATTATAGTGTATACATGGCTTCTAGCATAAGAATTAGGCTTGGGAGCAACTTGTCAAATAAAATGTATACAGGTATAGGCACTGCAAGTCTTGGTTTTATAGAAGGTCATCAAATTAAAATAAGAAACCTGCAGCACACAAGAACTAAGTTCTAAAAGAACAAATGACTTCTATTATTTTCTGTTGAGGGTTAACTCAAGGAGAGAATGAAGGAATACTGGCAGCACAATGAACCTAAGATACCATCTGTGGCAAGTTTAACATAGCTTACATGAAAAGAACTGCTCTGGAGCTCCTTGTTCCACCAATGTGGCCATCAATCCATTCTGCTAGCATGTGTTGATAAAGTCAAATGGAAATTAGCATATTCCATAATAGCAGACTGTTTCTCTGAGTGTGAAACCTTATGTCAGGGAATGGGAGATGGATACAGAATCATGGATTAAGACATAGTTGGCTATATGAATAGGACTACTATCTTCTGAACATAAAATATTTGTTGCTTTTATCTTGTAAAGGAAACATATATTAGATCTACCCTTATTGCAGCTTGACTGATTTTTGTAACCTAGCTTACCTCCATTTATGCAATCCTGTTTTTAGTTAACTATGTTCCTATCAATTCAGTGCTTGAAACCAGTGACTAACAGAATAACACCTTGTCCACCTCTATTTCAATGTTGTTTTCTGGATTATTTACAACTACTCATAAACTACAATAAAATACAATACATAAACAAACATGGTAGAATAACAGGACTCCTTAAATAGGTTATGTACCTTCCTACCCCATGTCCAACTCAGCGCTATTAAATGGCTCGGTAGTCTTAAACTGGAGCCAGGATAGTTGAGTTGGTACAAGATGACCTCAATGAGATTGTTTCATAATTGGAGAGGGGCACCTCCAAGAAGGCCCTCCATTTTGTTGCCACTGAGATGGCAGTCAGAGGAAGGCACCAGATGATCATTGCCTGGGTAGATTACAGTTGGATGAAGTATTCCATCAAATATCACATTCCCAAGCTGTGTAGGGCTTTATACTGTCTAGTGAAATGATGCAACTTTGATAAAATTGGATTCAGATTAAGTTTCACTACAAAAGATTGTATTGGAAAAAACTATGATGTAATGAATGAAATGGAGAGGAAACATTCTGAAACCAAAAATAGAGTTTGGGAGTTAATTATAAAACCATGGGATCACAGGAAGGAAATTTGAATGATATTTAAGGAAGCTTTCCCTAACATAGTGATCTCTAGATGTTTTGGCCTGCAACTCCAAGCATTCTTGACCAGTGGCCAAACTGGCTGATGCTGATGTTAAAAATCAAAACATCTTACGAATACAAGGTTGGGGGAGGCTGTCTTCAAAATAAAACTCTTGACTGTACATTTAAGAAATGGTGATAAAAGGAAGCTATTACCTACAATTTGAATAATTCATTGATTAAAACTGAGGGTCAAATTTAAGTTTATTTATTTATTAGTAGCCAAATAGATCAAATGAGCTCTCTAGGCAACGTACAGCAATAAAATTACAACCAAACAATTAAATTAGTTGGCTCATGAGTAACTGTCTCTGTGGCTGACTGCCCAAAACATTCTGAAATGAGAATCTCATCATCATCTTGTTATGCACATAAAAATAAATACCTTTTGTGGTAAGAAACTGATGTAAGGACATGCTCCTTTAAAATAATTACAAAGCTATTTGAAACCTTTTTCACTGGTCCCTACGAAGCGTCTTACAATGGTATGTTATGCTCTTATGACTTATGATTGTAATGTCATAAATATCATTTGATTTTTAGAATTATTGAAGCTATACTATTAATTTGATTTCTATCCCACTTTTTCCCAATGAACCCAAAGAGGATTACATAATCCTCATCCTCCTGCTCTTTATCTTACCCCCCACAAGATCCTTGTGAGGTTGCTTGGGCTGTGAGTCTGTGACTGGTCCAAAGTCACTCAGTTGGCTCCACGGTTGAGCAGGGATGCTTGAATCCCAGTCCCATACTTTTAACCACTACACCACACTGGCCCTCATACCTTTAACACTGTGTCAAACATATAATTATGTAATAAAAGAAAGTTCATACAAATTATGGTTTGTCATGATAGGAAGAAGTCACAAACACACGTCCACCTTCCTTCTGGTATGACAACAAAAAGAGATGCATTGTTTTTGTTTCCACTTCTTTAATAACTACACATTAGCATTACATCCAAACTGGAGTCCCCATCATTTTTAGGCCTGTAGGAACATTCAATTATTTGAGAAACTGCCATGTGTAGCAGCAGCAGCACAAAAAGGAGGATGCAGCTAATAATAAAACAGCAATCATAAGGGCCTGGCTAGTGCAAGGAGCAAGCAGCTTATTCAAAAACTGAGTGCAAGCAGAGATTGGGTCTGAACCACTAAGCCAAACCATGTACTTGACTTTACAAAAATACAACAAAATACCAATTTCCAAGAAAGCATACTGGTTTCCCTACTTCTATTCCCAACGTAAGTATTGTAAGTCGTCCTAGGATGATTTCCGTGTAGGATGGGGTAAAAATATTTTAAATAAATAAACATTCTCTCTGGTTCAGTCACTCCGTGCCCTACCTGGTGCTGCAGCCTTCCTGCCCCCAGAAGGTAGAGAGGAAGGGGAGGGGGAGAAAAAGAGCAAGGCTATGGACTGGAGAGACAAAAATAGCAAGGAAAAGGAAGGAAAAGGAAGGAAAAGAAATAGCAAAATTTAGCAGAGGGGACAGAATGAACAAGGGCAGGGGTTGGGAAGGAAGCAAAATATTGAGCTTAAGGGAGGGGACAGCAAGGCTAGAATCTTGGAAAGAACTAGAAAAGAGAAGGAAAAACAAGGCTGGGGCTGACGAGGAGAAAACACAGAGGAAAAAGGTTGTATGGTTGGAAGGAAAATGTGCAAGAATGAGAGGGGTTCTTCCCTTCTGGCTGGATACACTTTTGATCTGATTGACTCTTTCCTCCACAGAAGTGGGAGTTAACCCTTTCCTATCTTCTCCATCCATTTCCTGTCATGGAACAGTACATTCTGATTTATAACAGTCCTCATAGCCACAACCATCCTAGGAGAATTAAAAACAAAAACAGGCAGCAGCAATATTAAATAGACCACAAGGCAGCTCTTTAGGACAACTCAGTTTTCTTTAGCTAATCAAATAAAATTAAGCGTATCCTAAAAGAATATTTTCAGGAAGACTTTTAATGGGCCAGTCATGAAGATTATACATCGAATCCCTAAAAGACAATTGGACAGCAAATGGATAAATGAATATGGAAGCTATTTTAAAATGCAAGAAAAATTACACATAATGATAAATAACCTTATTCCCACAGATTGAGAAACTGAACCTGTCTAAGGAATAGAATGGATGTTTGCATTTTACTTCTCAAATCCCTATCTCCAAGAAGATGATTAAATGACTACAGTTACAGGTAGCAAACACTTCCAGGATACAGTTCAAGCTTCCTTTCATACACAGTCACTCAGAACATAGTGAAATTGTACTGTAGCCTTTGAAATAAAACTTTCTATGGAATGCAGTCATTCTCCAAATTGTTCCTTTCTTTTCGCTGGGAAATATTTTCTTTTTCTAAGCTTAATGTGCTATAGAAATCCCTGCTTTACTTCTTCAGTGAATGCTTCAATCCCATGACTGTGAAAGTAGCAGCAGTAAGCTTTTCATAGACTAGGAACATCAGTGCAGCAGTGAGGACTGTCTGGAGCAGCTTTGCTTCAAGCCCTTTATAGAGTCCTGCTAATCCGAAGTGCCTATAAAGAAACAGGTTTACTATATACCAGGAAAGCAGTTTCAATTATAACAAAATGGTAGACTATTTCTTACTCTATCTCCAAATTGAAATGAACATATGATGCCCTTTCCTCCCCATCAAGAATCACTCAGATTTTAGACAGATAATGTCCCTCACCTGTCCAACTATCAGTATTGTGCATGTTTGATCATCCAAGAAGCTATATCAAATATTTTGCCCATTAAGAGCTAAACCAACATCTTACAATCATAAAATTGCAAAGATGTCAAGGACATCTGCTTTCTGCTATGAAGTTAATGGAGTCAGTAGCATGTTGGCTTTAAATTGTTGCCCAAAGTAAACTATATACCACCACTTCTGTGTAAAAAGATATTGGGATGGCATATTTTTGGAGGGGAACTAGAAGAAAGAAGGGGACTTATGTTATCCCTCACCTGCTAAACCTCCACTCTAGTCCCATCTCTAGATGCTAAATGAGTATTGCAAACATTTTAGACATGTGTTTAAAAGATTTGTGAACTGCTTTTCAGAAAAGTTTCTACAACAGTTTACAAAAACACAAAATTTCAAAATTAAAGTATTAAAAACTATTACATTAAGATACATTAAATAGCCAGACAGAATAACAAAGACTTGTGCCAAAGGGGCAACAATGTTGGTACTAGGTTGGACCCCTGGGATGAAATTCAATGAACAGTGTGCCATCACTGAGAAGATTATCTCAGGTCATCAAAACTTTCCAATATTACCTTGGTATGTAGGCAGGCTGGGTCTGAAACCTTGACTTTAAAAGGGGGTGCCACAATATCATGAGAAATAATGCCATCTTGATTTGGCTTTGCATAGGACACACAGGCCATGAAGGACAGGTAGAACTAGACAACTACTTTGGCAGACTTTTGGGCAGGAAATATTAGCAGTCATCCCTTTCCGTGCATGATGCTTCTCATGCTGTTCATAGTAAATTGAGTTGATATCACTATACTTTACCATAGGATTGTTTTATTGTTATACATTCTCTTGCATATTTGTTGAGTGAAAAGATAGAATAAACAAAGGGGGAAAGGTATAATTGTGTAGTCAACAGAAGTAAATATATTTGGGAATGGGCAGCTTTTGCTTATTTAATTTAGCAACATAGGAAGCTCTTCCAATGCGTCAGACATGGAATTCCATGCAGTCCAAAACTGTCAACACTTACTGACAGGTTTCAGGCAGGAGTCTTTTCCAAATGTACCAGGAGATGCCCAGGATTGACCCTTGGGCCTTCTGTATGCAAAACTAGTGCTCCACTACTGAGCTCCCACCACTCCAGATTTCATGTGTACAGAACTGAAAGATTTCACAGAGAGGATTATGGTCTTCTCTGAAAATCTTAACATTTTGATACCAAATATTACTTTAAACTATAACTATTTAAGCTATTTTGTGTTCAAGATAATTGCACACAATTTACAATAACTTATCAAGGACATTCAATTAGACAGGAAGAAAGCCAATATTAAGAACTGTTTGGTGAGTAGGTTAAAAACACAAAACTTACCTTATTCTTTGTTGAAGAAGATAGAGAACATTTCTAAGACTACCTAGTCTCTTGTTTTCAGGATTCAGTCGGTGATGTCCAAACTGAAAAGGATACAAAATGTACAGTTTTTCCTGTGTTATTTTCTCCTTTTTTTTTGGTGGGGGGGGGGAGGTGTGACATCAGACAATTCAGAGAAATTTTGTAGTTCCATGCATGACAGAACAATACAGAACAGTTTGAACAAGCCATTCAATTCTGTACTTTGCTTATCTAAACATAATTCAGTACAGTTTGTTTATATGATTAAGATTTCATATCAATAATCATCTATAATCATCTTGTACTCACATACTCTGTATTAATATGTTCGCTGCTCAAGTCAGAACTTCACACTCCAGAAATTACAAAAAGTGAATATGTGTATTGATATGTATGCATAAAATTACAAATATAATGTTGATCAAGGAAACCTACATACAACAAAATCATGCAGACAACCAAATCTGTGATGGTAGTAGGAATATGCAGAGGAGAAAAATCTTGACATGTACTTATTTTTATTTATTAGATTTATATCCCACCTTTTCCTTAAAAAAAACAAACAAACAAGGATGCATACATCATTCTCCTCCTCCTTCTCTCAATCTTATCCCCACAACAACAACTCTGTGAGGTAGACTGGGCTGACAGTCTGTGACTAGCCCAAAGTCACCCAATTGGTTCAATGGCCATGCAGGGACCAGAACCTAGATCACCCAAGTCCTGCACTCTTAGCCTGCACCAGGAGGAAAAGTTATGGAGCTTCTAGTCCCTAAGCTCAGTTAGAAAGGTTACATTCAGGAAAGTAAGGAAGAAATCCTTCCTAAGTGCTAAATGAAATTATGAAGTCTAAGAATTTGCCTTTCAAACTATAAGGATCATATACATTTCATACAGGAGACGTCAAAGCAACTGTCTATTTCCCCGTTTGTTAGATGTGTAAATGCACACATGATGCAGGGTTTCTTCTTCTGCAAACATCAGTTGATGATTACTATTATACAGATTTCTAAAAGTTTCTACATATTTCAAGACACTAACCCCCTGCTATTGCAAGACACTAAGTTATGCCATCCCCTTCAGATGACTGTCCAGATGCCTTTTTAATGTCTCTAGTGAGGGAAAGCCCACAATTTCCCCAGGTTAGTTAGTTAGTTAGTTATTTAAAACATTTCTATGCTGCCCCATTCGCCGAAGCCTCAGGGCGGCTCACAACATAAAATTAAAATATAATATTCAAAATATAAAACAAATTAACAATATAAAATAAGTCACCCTGGCCAGATAAAATAAGCAAATAATATTAACAATTAAAATGACGTTTAAATAAAAAGGACTTCACCTGTCGCCGAAAAACAAATAATGACGGTGCCAGGCGGACCTCTCTGGGGAGCGCATTCCATAGATTGGGCGCCACCACAGAGAAAGCCCTCCTCCGAGTACCTACCCTCCTAATTTCTTTCACGGAGGGTTCCCGGAGAAGGGCC